GCAAGAAGTCAGTGCACTTGTAATAAAAAAAAACATTTTGGCATGTATATATATATATATATATTCGAACCTAAATGAAGTACTTAAAATCCTTTAATTAGCTAAAAACAAAATCTCGAGAATAATTCTAAATAAGAAACTCAATAATATTCGTGAGGCCCTATTGATTAGCCATTGGCGTTACGCACACAAGTTTGGACGAACACAAGAAAATAGATACATACTTGAAAAACGAAAGTGCATTTCAATTACTTTTAGCATTAAATAAGATTTTTTAAAAAAATCTTTTTTTTTTTCGCTCAGCTGTTTCTGAAAGGTAATCTATTATACAGATTCAATATCTGTTAAACAGACCTCACGGAAGTGTAAGTAGAAATTTTCCAAAATCGACATGGAACTTCATGGAAGGAAAAATATTCAATATTAAGCTTTACGTGATACAGTAATCAACATAATGTAGAAATAACTTGACCCATTTATCTGACTAAGCCTACATAATTAAAATCTACTTTCACACTCATATCAATTAAAAATGTTCATGGACGTGCATATGGAAACTGTGTAATTAATAAGCTTGAGGAAGATGTGGAACTTATATAAGTGGTGTTATCGTAAATTAAGTAAATACTCATGGATCTTTAACCATCATAATCGGTTATGAAATATCTGAATGTGCCTAGCACAATTCATAGCTAATCCTCATAAATATGTTTTGCGTCACATTGGATTTACATTATTAAAGTAGTAACATCGTTTTTTAAAAATAAATTTAAGAACATTTCAGTCAAAATATCCGTTAACAAACTGTCAATACCTGGGGTTTAAGTAAAGAAAAAAAAATAACGCTGAAGAAATTACAAATAAATGGATTTTTATCAACAGAAAACGCGCTAAAAACATTAAAACCCGATGTTTAAATGAAAACAAAACCGTTTGAACACCTGGAGCTTAAACGAAACATTTTGTTGCTGATATTTTTGAATTATTATAAACTATTCGGCTGTCTCAAAGTCATATTTTGTCCCTATATTATTTAACGTTCTGATGTGCAAATCGCACATTTTTTTTAAAAACCTGCATTTCTAATTTTCTAACCTAAAATCATTATCAGTTTATACAAATTATTAAAACATGAACAATCATATTTCGTAATTTCAGTAAAATTACAATTCAAGACTTTTACTCCCATTATATCTGTATACTTTCCATTAATAAACAGATTTCCGCGTGGTTTTAAACTGAGTTTTTCTTAAGAATATGGATTTCGTATTTCACATTTAAAGTCAGTTTTATGTCGATGCTAGAAAACAGAATGGCTGCGTTTTGAACTGAATACGGTTGTAAAACAAGCACGGCAGCTACTAACAGGCTTTATAATGATATTCAAAAGTAAGATCCTAATGTATCAATAACGTAATAGTTTCAGAAAATATGATTTAGGTTTAGAGAAAGATGCGGTATTTGTAAATTGATAGATTAAATAGGTTATATGGAACTTTTACACTGCTGAAAAGTTTTAGAGTATTCCTAAGGCTTAAGAACCTTAAACACTTCACCTTTCAATGAAACAAACTTTCACACACTTAATTTCAGAATACGAGATATTTATATTTCTAACTACATCCATGTATCACACTTAAAGGATAGACGAATTAAGATGATGTAAATTATGCAGTAACCAAGATAGGTAGTGGATTTTCTAGCTATGCCTACTTTCCCCCAAACTGAGAATTGTTAGTCTTATAGAATGGAGGGAAATAACACGCTGAAGAAGCTAGCGTAAGGTTTTTGGTGGTTTAGTTGCTTCACACGATATATCTAACCTGAAGGTTGCAATTTAGTAGAAATAAGATCATAACGTTATAAAACGACTATTTCTTTTCTATTAGTATTTATGAGAATCGTCGTACTATACAGCGTGACATTTGAGCTCTTATGCCTATCATTAAATACTGTTACCTTTACACAGCCCAAAGGTGTCTATTTGTTTGTTTTTGAAATTCGCGCAAAGCTACACGAGGGCTATCTGCGCTATCCGACCCTAATTTAGCAGTGAAAAACTAGAAGGAAGGCAACTAGTCATCACCACCCACCACCAACTCTTGG